AATATAATCCCAGACAGGAAGAAATGCTAAGAACTAAAATAAGACAGACAGACAGACAGACAGACACACACAGAACAAACAACAACGAATCAGGAATCCAAAGCAGTGATCCAGGGCTCTGCAGCCTTTGTAGAAAGGGGGCGATCCAAGTAAGATCTCAGTGTGGCAAGGAGGCGCTCACCAGCACAGTCTAAACCATCGCTTCGTCCCCCCAGAGAACACTGGATCATTTCGGTTGAGATCACGGGAGGAACCCCGCCTGTCTAGGCAGTAAATCGGGATGCAGGAGCCGGGAATACCGCCCGATATCCTATGGTATCATATATACTATCAGTCCTTCCCGTAGTACCAGGAGATGGACGCCGTTCACCTTCCCGACAGCCCGTCACCTGTCCCCGCTGCGCGCAGTGAGGCTGGACGGTTCCCCGCCGGCTAGCGGGGAGGCGTGCTAGCCGGCTTCCCCGGACACGGACGCCTAGATCCCCCGCCCCGCAATGGTGAGGTGCGGCGCAAACGAGCGGTGCGAGTTACCCGGGGGCTCCCCGGAGGCGGCCGCCAGGAAGAGCTCCCCCAGGCCAGGCGACCACTGCGGCGCCCGGCACCCACTGCGGCGCCCGGCGGCGGCGGAGCTGCGTGCGCCGCCCGGGGAGCCGTTGGAAAGGGGGGGGGGGGGGGAGGCGGGCGACAGGTGTCCGGAATGGCCCTGGGACGGGGGTCCCGGCAGGGTGGGGGGTCCCGGGCCGGCGAGGGGCCCTCTGCGGGTGCCTCGAGTCCCGCACCATGCCCGGGCGGCGGCTGGCGAGCCGTCGGGAGGGGACGGGCTTGCCGTGGGGGTTGGGGTGTCGCCCGGCCACGCACCCAGATGCCCGGGAAGAGGCGGGTTCCCGAAGGGACAGGGCGCAGCCCTCCTCCGGGACCCACGGGTCCTGAGATCCCGCGGGACGCGCACCCCCCACACCCCCCCACACCCCCGACCCCGCTCCCCGGGGCAAGGGGCGCGGACCCCGAGGTGGGGGGGGGGCGGGAATGAACGTTAGAACCAGCGAGTGTGAAACAAAGGTGGCACGGGGCTGGGGACCCGGGGCGGAGGAAAGCTTACCTCATGGTGGCTGAGCCCCAGGGCTTCCCCTCTCCCGCGCGGTGTCCGGGGGACCTGGGACCCTGGCCGGCGCGAGGTGGGCGGGGAAAAGCGCCGGGGGGGGGGGATGGGGCGGGGGGAGGGGTGGCGGCCGCGCGTGCGCAGGCGCGCGCCTCAGCCCGGCCGGCCGCTCGCCTTTGTTTCAGTCCCGTCCCCAGCGGGAAACGAAAACTAGAAACCGAATCTAAGTGCAGCCGGGCCTCCGCCCTTTGTGCCCTTGGCTCTTGAGCCTTGGGTGGGACCGCGGGATCAACTTGTTATTTCTAAAAGCAAAATTGAAAAACACAACGCTTGTTAAGGATGTCCGTGTCTTCCCAGCTTTCCACGTCCTCAAGGGAAACGGAAATGCCGGCTTCCATCCCAGGCATTCGATGCTATTATTTCTGTGTTGGTGTTTATTTTCATATACTTGATGTAGTTGTGCAAAGGGGTTTCCATTGAACAAGTCACTTGATGAGTACAGTGCATCTTGAGCCATGTCACCCCCAACCATCGCTCTCCCTCATCTTTCCCAATCCGGTCCACACCTTCAAGTTCCCTGGTTCCCTTGACACGCAGGTGCATGGAAAATGATGACTGGATTTGCCAGCCCTTTTCCTCTCTCCTTCTTTCCCCCTTTGCCTACCCCTTCCCCACATATTTCGGCTTCCTGGTCATCATTTTGTTAGATCTATTTGAATTAGAGAAATTTTGCTCCCAAAATGGACATGCATTTTAGGTTTGGCTGACAGACACAGTTGAACAGCTTTGCCAAGCGGTGGTCCCATTCCCAGCCACATTGTACCACACGGTTTTTCTGCCAGCCCTGGCTAGCTAGTCCTTTGTCTCATACAGTCTCTATGAAGACAGGGCTGGAGAGCCATTGTGAACCTAAACCAAAGATTAGAAAGTCTCCTCCATTCAGAGTGTTCTGCTCTCTAAATTCAGCCACTTATTCATTCCACTAATTTTTATCGAACAACGACCAAGAGCCAGATTTTTGTATATTGTCCACGTAACCATGAACAAAACAGACAAGACCCTTATTCTCATGGAATTAATTTTTATTGGATTGAAAGTATCAACAAACACATGAAATATGAGATAACACTATAGAGAGAGTTGGAGTGCAGGATGTTTTACTATTGTAAGGAGGACAGGGAGGAAAGGTTTCATGGGAAAAGTGACAATTAAGCAAATATCTGAGAGAAGGGGCCTGTGCTGTGGAGATGGGCTGTGCACTGCACAGTGGGAAGATGGGGGGGGGGGAGGGCATAAAGGTAGATTCCAAGGGCAGGGAGGCCTTGTACCTGGCATCTATGGATGATATGATGACAGTGGAGTGAATGAAGGAAAAAAAAAACACAAAAAAAATGAGATCAGAAAGGAAAGGAGGATGTGAGTGGGCTCCACGGCCAGTGTAATACCTCAAGTAGGAACCAGATTTTAGGAAAGGCATTGGAAGATTTACGTTGCATTAAATACATTAACCACAGGTTTCCCTCTTACCAAGAACATAGAAAAGTTTAATAGAGCTCTAATATTTGAAAAGTTTTCCAGCATGTTGATAGTTTGTCCTTTTCTGTATTCCTACATTGTTGTCTCCCATTCTTTTAGCTGTGTCTGGGTCAAGAAATAGACTTTGGGGGCTGGGAAGGTGGCTCAGTGGTAGAACGCTTGCCTTGCATGCATGAGGCCCTGGGTTTGATTCCTCAGCACCACATAAGCAAAAAGAAAAAAGCTGGAAGTGGCGCTGTGGCTCAAGTCGTAGAGCTCTAGCCTTGAGCTGAAGAGCTGAGGGACAGCGCCTAGGCCCAGAGTTCAGGCCCCATGACCGCCCCCCCCCCCCCAAATAGACTTTGTTTACGAATACGAAAGTGAATAGTAATGAAGCAATCAATCAGTGATAAAAACCAAAGGGAAAACATTTTGGCGAACTCCTTTCATTATTATCAATTTGAGTTCAGGAAAACACAAATCAAGAGCCTGGCACAAGTCCCACAATGTAGCCCGTTTTCTTTCTTTTCTGGAAGCTGGGAAAAAAACAAAACAATACCCCAAAGTCAAGAAAGTAAAAGAACTATGTGGGGGGGAGGGGGTGGAAGAAGAGAAAAGGACAAAGGAGGTGGAAGAGCAAGAGAGTGAGAGAATATGGACATTTTAGGATATTGAAGCAGCACCCGTGAGCATTTCCACCAGATGTCAGTAGTATCCCACAATTGTAACGAGAAATGGCTGCTGATGCTGCGAAAGGGCCATTGAGTGGCACAATACCTCCCTCCTCCTCTCACAGCCCCCCCCCCCCCCCATGTCTGCTGAGAATCAGGGCTGCAAATAATACCTTCATTTTACATTCCTAGTTCAACTTCACATAGGAGAAGGCAGAACGCAAGTTGAACATGTATTGCAATTCAGGAAGGAGAGGAATTGTGTAAAAGGGTAGAGAACAAGGAAAAAGCCAGAGAAGGCTTAATCCCTTCAGCATGGATTTTCAGAGTGGAAATGGTTGGTAATCAGATTTGATCTGATTGGGGAGAAGACACACAGATGTTGGCAGAGGCTAATAGTGGGTGCTGTGATGTGGTTATGATTTAAGTATGTCCCTCAACTGTTCCTATGTGGACAAGTGGTCCTTAGGTGGTAAAACATTTAAGAGAAGACGGGGCTGGGAAGGTGGCTCAGTGGTAGAGTGCTTGCCTTGCATGCCTGAGGCCTTGGGTTTGATTCCCAGCACCACATAAGTAAAAAGAAAAAAGCCGGAAGTGGCACTGTGGCTCAAGTGGTAGAGCGCTAGCCTTGAGCTGAAGAGCTGAGGGACAGTGCCCAGCCCCAGAGTTCAGGCCCCATGACCGGACCCAAAAAAAAAAAAAAAAAAATTTAAGAGAAGAAATCTAGTGGGAGAGTAGAAAATTGGTTCTTCCTTGCTTTCTGGCTTTCTCTCTTGTCACATGGTGTCTCCCTCCAACCCCCTACCTACCCCACCATTATATGATGTACTCAGGGGCCCTTGTCAGAGCTTGCGCCATGCTATTTGGACCTAACTTCAAAAGAGAGCTAAATAAAGTCCTTTCCTTTATAAGTTAACCTAGTTTGCCATGGTAACAAAAGATGGATTAAGTCATCTAACTTAGAGCAGGCTATAGTGATCAGTGCAACCACTGAACACAACACAGCTGTAGCTCTAGCAGCATAATGAGGGTGGAGACAGTGGTAGTTAGAGTGGGCACAAGGGGGTAGAGCCTATACTGATATACAGATAGCAATTAATGGTAGTAGTGCATGGGGGGAGCTATAGTTTGGCTTGATTTAGGAGTCAATTTAAATAAGGACACCAACTCAGCTTTTTGTCATTTACATGGAAGGAACACATTCTTGAAACCCAGCTGCCGGTTTAAAGAGACTTCTTGGTAATACTTCGAAATGGTCATGTGATCAAAGGTTGTCAACACAATCTTGTCAGTGAAAAACGCATTTATCCTCCAGATTTGCAATATTTTTATTTTTGTCTGCAAACATCCAGACTATACCACGTGCTAGTCATTGAGCCACACATCTATTACTGAGAAGTACAGAAATATCTTTCAAGGTTAGCAAGTATGGGACAGAGAGGTGCTGTGACGTTAATAAGACATCCTACATAAGTGTGCTCCCTGAAGTTTGTAAGTCATACCTCACACAACCTAGTATTTTATACTATTAGATTTTGCTTTCAGATCATTTCACATTTTTTCATACCTTTTAATTAGATCAATATCAGCAAGTGACTGGAACAATGCTATAAAAATAATATAAAACAAAAGAAACTCCTTGGAACAGGTTGGGGGATAACGCACTTAGAAAATCAAGAAGCTGATCTTTGATTCTTTGCCCACTTAACTGTTTCTCTCATTAGATTCTAAGCTATGGGAGTTTTATGAAAGATGTCAGCTTGATGTTTTGAATATCCAATACTGCAAACTTTTTTGATAAAAAAGTGTGTTAACTTAAAATTTTCTCTATATAAGATAGTGTTGGTTTTATGTGCAACAAATCTACTCAACAAACTTTTTTCTACTATGTAATCTTTATGCAATTATACTGTCTCCCTCCCTCAGCTTTTCTTTCTTCCTTCCTTCCTTCCTACCTTTATTTCTCTTTCTTTCTTTCAACTCACTCTCTCTCTATATTTTATGAGTGTATTCAGTATTATTTAAAATCAGAGTTGAGTTGTGTAGCAATTTATATTAAGTGAATTACATGCGTCTGAAACTATCCAAAAGCAGAACAGAGGAGTTAGTACATGTTAAAATAAATGCAACTGAAATATAGAAATGGCTGATGTTATATCATTTGAGGGCCATGTTTCACAGCCTTGTCAGAGGCAGCAGCCAGGTTCTGAGCTCGCTCATACTACTCTAGTGCTTTATGGATTTCTCCTTTCAATTTGTTAACTAACCCAAGAAGACTCAAACCTTCCAGGTCACTCTCATCTCTCTGAAGTTTCCTTAAAGCCAATTTCTCCAAAGAACGAATACTTTTCTCTCTCGCAGGGGATGCGAATTTTACTTCTATTGCTTTTAAGTAGTGCCTGATTGCATCCACTTCAGATTTCTTCTGAAATTCCAAAAATCTACCATAGTAAAAATACCCCTCTTGTACTATTTTTTGCTCCTGTGGTTTTATTAATAAAACTTTTTGAAAAGTGTCTTCAGCTTTTCTGTAATTTTTTGCTGTAACATACATATGTGCCAGGTGTAATAAAGCAACATCAAATGTGGGCCTTTGTTCAAGAGCAGACTTGAAATGAAATATGGCTAATCTGACCATATTGTCCAACTTTTCTCTGTCCTGCCCTATAGGCTGCATATGTGTAGCTTCATTTATTTGGAACACTTGTGCCCTGTAGCAGAGCCCTATCTGATGGTGTAGGAAGGCAGAGGAAGGAGTTTCCCGCAAGGCCCTTTGAAGGAGCTCAAGAGCTCTCTCCACACAGCCTTTCCTTCTGTAAAATTTGGCTGCATATCGAAGGATGTACATCAGGGAGGTTGTGCTGCCAAGAGCTTCTTTAATGTACATTTCTCCTTCATCTTCTTGTTTTACATCCTGGAGCTTCAGGGCAAGGAGGACCTTAATGTATGTATCTGCTGGATTGAGCCTAACTGCCTGCCTTAGGGGGTTTAGAGAAATAACATCATTGTGATCAGAATCCAGGCGATAGAGAGTGATGGCATATCCAGTGCTGAACTCAGGGTTTTTAGGCTCCACTTGCAGAGCTTTTTCAAAGCAAGCCCTGGCCCGCACATAGTTCTGTCTTCCGCACTTGAGCAAGGCCCAGCCTTCTGCACAGTCCATCTCAGGACACTCCATGCTATAGCGAAACTGGCTTGCAAACTTCCGGCAAGTGTCCTCCACCTTGTCCAGGTAAGTCTGGGCTTCTTCTAGCCTGCCCATGTGGTAATACAGCCAGGCATAGTTGCCCCAGGTCACCAGGCTGCCTATGTCTGACAAGTCAGCATGCTCTCTGTGGATCAGGTCCTCGGCTTTATTCAAGCTCTGCAGGGCGTCCTCATCCTGGCCTTGCAAGTGTTTCACGTAGGCCAGGAGGTTGTGTATTCCCACGTTGTATTTGGTGTCTAGGAACTCAATCTCCTCCCAGATTCTGTTCTCTAAGTCAGGTACTTCGGAGTCTTCGACCACTAGCCCCCATGTGAAGTGACATCTCAGCTGAACCAGGTTCTCCTTGAGCTGGTGTGCATCAATATTTTCTCTACAAAACAAAAGAAGGATTTTATTTGTTATCCAAGGAGCAGACAAATAGGAACGGAGACTCCTTGTATGAGTTTCGGGTTTATTCTAAAAAGTTTCAGTTAAAAAAATAAGTAAAAAGTTTGTTACTTTCATTCCTTCTATCTCTGGGTTTTAATGTATGCAAGAAGAGTAAATGCATTTTCTTTGCTCCCCTTATGGAAGCTCCTGTATTTTCTAAGCATGTAACCACTCTATATTTGAGAGTATCCTTTGTGAAATGGGAATATTATTAAAACTAGCCTCAGTGGGTTTTGGCGAAATTGATGAGCACTTTCACTGTGTAATCTGCTATACAAAAGTGTCTTTTTTACTCTGAGTAAGATTGACAGAGACCACTCATGAATGTAGAACTTAAGCAATCTTTATTAAAGTCAGGAAAATTGTGTTCATGGAATATTAGAAATGAAGATCACTCTGCTGAGAAAATAATTCACAAGTATATCAATATTCTTTTTCCTTTTGTCAGTCATGGGCCTTCAATTCAGTGCCTGGGCAGTGTCCCTGAGCTTTTTCACTCAAGGATAGTGCTCTGCCACATTAAGCCACAGATCAACTTCTGTTTTTCTGGTGGAGATAAGAGTCTCATGGACTTTCTTGCATGGATTGGCTTCAAACTGCAATCCTCAGATCTCAGCACCCTGAGTAGCTAGAATTATAAGCATGAGCCACCAGTGCCTGGCTATCAATATTCTTTTGATGTTTTTACTTGGAGTATTGAAGAGATCAGAGATCCAGGTATCCATTAACCAGTTTCTCAAAATTACTGTAACTTACACAAATATCTAGAACAACATCAAAGTATTGGGGCTTTACATATGTAAAACAGAAAACTGTACATAGCTCATATTTTTTCACATGCAAAAACTTCTGTAACCAATACTTATCACAAGTTTCAGAACTCCATCACCATCACCTCCACAATATGGAAACCTTTCTCTCTATCCCTAAAAGCCCCAGGAAACCATGGCCCTTGTACCTACACATTTGTGCGTCATCACTGAAGTTACCATTTAATGAATGTAACTTAGAGAACGTTGTTCAAAAGGATAATTGAATTCAGAAATCTATCAATGCCATTAACAGAATGAAAAGATCCCTTTTATAACAATAGATGAAGAAAAGCCAAGCAGACATTCTCCAAAGAGGAGTCACAACCAGCCACATATGAAAATATGCTTGATAACATTGGTCATTAGGCAAAAGTGACAAATATATCAGTTAGTTGGGTCATACTGTGGATGAACTAGAATCATTATTGATGGTGAGAATGCAAAATAGTAGAATGCAGAATGCTGAGGAAGCCGTTTGGTGATCCCTTATTGAGAAATACACAGAATGACTCTTATGAGAATATATTCCAGGGTATGTTTAGCAACTTAATATATGCTCAAAATAATTGACATGAGGAATTCAAAAAAAACCTTGCACATAAATGACATAAATGTTCACTGCAGCACTATTTATAACAGGCCAAAAATAAAAACACCACAAATGGCTTACAGCTGAGGAATGCATAACCGAAATGGATATTCTTCAGTAATGAAAAAAAATAATAAGCGCAATTTATGACAGGGATAAAGCTTTAAATCATTCCATAGAATGAAAGAAGTCAACACAAAAGAGCACTCATTGGGATTGGAGGGCAGGGTAAGCAATGAAAGCAGTCTGGAGTTTGTCCTTTTAGGATGTTTTTGAGTAAATGATGATTGAAGAACATAGTGAATGTACTAAATGCCACTAAATATGTACATTAAAATTTAAAATAGTGACTTTTATCTGATATGAAAAGTTTTATGGATTGTATATACATGGATTCTTAGTCCATGTAGAAACAAGCAAAATAGTAAAAATCTACAACACATTCATCAGTATTTATTTATTTATTTATTTATTTTTTGGGTCCGGTCATGGGGCCTAAATTCTGGGCCTGGGTGCTATCCCTCAGCTCTTTAGCTCAAGGCTAGCGCTCTACCACTTGAGCCACAGCACCACTTCCAGCTTTTTTCTTTTTGCTTATGTGGTGCTGAGGAATCGAACCCAGGGCCTCATTCATGTAAGGCAAGTGCTCTACCACTGAGCCACCTTCCCAGCCCCTCATCAGTATTTAAAATGACCTAATAAAGCCAGTAGCACCCATTAGGAATAATTACATGAACAGTTTAATGAACTGTGTTACTCAGATCTGACTTTTAAGAATTGTTATCTCAGAAATCTTGCTATTACTTACTAGAAAAATTACATGAATGTAAGTAGCAGGTTTCATGGGCTTCTGTTAGCAATTAAATGAGAATTTACATAATACTTTTAGAATCCAGGCTAGCAGTTAATAAACAGAGAATGTGATAGCTACTTTTGTAACACCATTTCTGTCATTATTTCTGTTCTTATTTTTTGTCATTATTCGTGTGATCATAGCACTGCCTTTCTGTACCTTCTGTGAGTTTTGCATCTCCTAATTCTGCCTATCAGAACCGAATGAGATATCTGAAAGTCAAATGTATTTTTCAGTCTTCTGACATTAGGAGACATTTGACTTAAGATTCAGTTGGGACCAAACATTATGCCTCTTAGGTAAGGAAGTTGTAGATGTTCCTAAGTAAAGAATGCAAGATAAAACCTAAGAAAACGAGGATATCAAGGATTTTTAGGTGCCCTGGCTTCCTCTGGAAGAGGGAACTGCTCATCTTCCAATCCAGCAGACTCTCTTGTAGGCAGCTACCCAAAAGTGAGAACAGAAGCCTGTCAAGGAAGGCCATGAGCTTCTCCTACCACATTCCCATATTCCACACCAAGATATCTGACCATCTGACTCTCATCACCATGGTGGGCCTGCTTTTCCTCCACAACGAGGAGAGAGCAGAAAGCTCTACCCAAACAAGTGATCTCTTTCTTCCCTAGATGAGGCAATGGGAATTTGGTAGAAAAACAATCTCCAAAATTGGAATTCTATTCTTCCTTCCTACAAAGCTCTTTTCCAATTTCCTTCCTTTCCTTTGTTTTAATGATGAGGTACAAGTATTCATAGGCTGATGTTGATTAAAAAACAGAACTTGTTTTTAAACCTGAATTAATAAAGCAGCTTGTGTCTGTGCATGAATGAGCATGCAAGTACATAGTTAACATACATATATACACATTCTAGTCTATGAGCAGATACTCAAACTGAAGGGCTGGAAAACCTGATCTCACTGAGAACAAAACTATTGAGATTCTAAGATCAACATGCTTGCAAAAGCTTTAGCTATGACACTAAAGAGGCAGAGAAGCCTTACCCCATGGTTGCTTGTGGATGAGGCAGACGTCTGTGCAGTGTTCTCAGCTGGGTGGGCTCCTTGTAGAACTTGATCCTTTCTGTTCTTTTTTTCACAGAACAAACTTGCTAACCCAAGGCAGTGCTATTTATACAACTCGACCAAAAAAAAAAAAAACCCAAAAAACAGCTGGCTGTGGAAACTGAAACTGGAAAGTGAAAGTAAAGCTGAGAATTTGCTCAGGGAAACAAAAACTTAACTGAGATGGCCTCCTGGCTCGGTCATTGGACAGCTGATGGAACACGGATGCAGATGTGTTGCTGTGCAAAATACTGTCTCCTGGTCTGCAGGTCCAGACACTAGGGATGAGAGTTTGTGCTCATTCCAACGAGTCTGGCTCCAGGCAGACCTGTGTACCCTGATAAATGAGCTTCTGCAAAGTATCTCCTCCAATGTTGGTATTGGATTGTCTGACATCAGTTTATGGCATAAAACCCAGTGAATCTCTGGATGTGGGCTTATTAACCCAAAGTTGAGGCCATTCCTGACAGTGTATTACTGCTTGTTCTGTATTTTTAATGACATTCTGTAGAATGGTCAATAGCAAAACTGGTCTTGGAACAGAGAAAACATACATCTTTGTCAGCAGAAGGGTTCCCTTTCCTCACAAGAACTTGAAACTCACATGTGTAAACAATTTCTAGTTGTCTCACAATAAGAACAGTTTAGTAATGACTTTTTTTTTGAGGTTTAACTTTAGTATAGCAGGAGAGAAGGGAGGAGAAAGAGACAGAGTTAGAGAGACAGAGATACGAGAGCAGAGATGCATACAGAGAGACAGAGACACACACAGTGAAAGAGAGAGAAAGAGAAACACTTTCTATTCCCCAGGCAAAAAAAATGGAAACAAAGATTCAATATGGGGTTTGGTTTTGAGTCTGGGAAATATACATGGAGATGCCTAGCAAACCCAGATTATTAGACAATGATTCTAGGTGATCAAGATGGATGCTGTTTATTATTATAAAACACAGAAATGTGTTCTTGAGGTAGATTAGACCGATGGGGAGATAGGAAAATTATTGTTTTTAATAATATAAATATTATACAGAGCTACACACTCTTGGCTGCTTTCTCTCACTAACATTGCTATATTCTGTGTAATTCATGGGTTTATTTAGGGCAAGGACATACTGGACAAGATTGTGAATACCTAATTAGCTGAGTCAGACCCCTTGGGACTAGATCTGCTGCCAAATCCAGTAGCCATGTGAGTAAACACTCCTGTGTTTCATGTCATCCTGTTACTAAGCAATAATTTCATACACAAAAAAATTTGAGTTATACTACAGTCACTCTCCCAATCTGCATTTCAGTATTTACTTATGATTCTCTCCTTTCCTTTCAAAGTTGGATTAAGGGTAGTACTTTGGCAGAAAGTATTTACACCCAAACTCTTAAATGGCCAGTTGGAAACCACCTGTCTGATACAGAGGAAGAGAGTTGAAAATGGTCTCCCGCCCCAAATCTATTCTCTCCCTATCCAGCTCTGTCCCTGCAAGGAGCTAGATACCAGCTACTGGAGAGCCACTACCGGACTCTGTGCTTGAGTGTATCCAATTCTCCGGAGCCTTACAGTGAGAACATCTACATTGTCTTGGCCTAAAACTCAGGATCAAATACCTGTATCTCAACAGCTACATAAACATAATATAGGCAGCTACCCCATGCCCACTGGGAAAATTGCAGTGAAAAGGCCTCTAGGGGATAATTAGCACAGACTACACAGGTAGAAGGCCTTGAACCCTCTCCCTCACTGTGAGAGCAGATCTCATGATGACTAAACACATTTATTTACTTATTTGTGTCTTTCTTTATTTTTGTGCTTATATGTATTGAGGCTTGAACTTAGGGTCTTGCACTCTTGCTCAGCTTTTTTGCTCATAGCTGGGGCTCTACTACTTGCAATCTATTATTGCTAATAGAAGATGAGTTTCACAGACTTTTCTGCCTGGGAATAATTTCTAACTTTGATCCTCAGATCTCAGCCTCCTGAACAGCTAGGATTCTAGGTATGAGTTACCAGTACTAGCAATCAAATGCTTTTAAATGTGACCTGCTTTTTTAGTAATAACCTATTTCATCTCATTACAATCCCACAAGGGAAGTTCTATTGCTCTTCTGATTCACAAATAAGTAAATGTAACTTTAAAATTTGTGAATCAGATGGGTCAAGAACACATGCCAAATAAGCAACAAAATCAAGTAAGGACCCCAGAAGGGCTGACTCTAAGTGGCCTTCACCACTGGGTAATGCCATCTTTGTGTACACAAAGGCAAGAGATTAAAAACAAACAACAACAACAACTTTAGTATTTATCATTGTGCCCTAACTAGGGAAGAGAGATGTGATTCTCAAGAAAAGATGTTCCATTGGATGCAAGTTGTTCTTTAAAGGGGCTTTATCATCTTGTAATCAGAGCACACAGAAGTGAGCTGAGGGATGGCTGGGAGAAACCCCTGTCAGCTGGTGATCTGACACCTGGAAGGTTGTTGTGAGTTCTTTCCAATGGCTCATGTTTGTTCTTTTTGCAGATGTTTGTCCAAAAGTCATTCTCCCTTGGAAGCAAACAGGCTTCCAATCTTCCCTTTAAGGAAGCTGACTTCAGGCAGGCTGGCCTAGGCCTGTTTCCTTCCCTTTGTTCCCCTGGGTGGTTCCATTTCCAATTCCTGGCTTGCTTTTATTATAATTGGAGAATTGTACCTTTTGTTTCTGTAAGTCAAATATATATAGGAAGTAGAACCAGAATTATCATTGTTGAGGTCATGGATCTAAATAATACCCTGTGCTTTTAAGGTATCAGGAGTGCCAGAACATCCTCTAGGCTCTAGAAACTTGTTTCTTTCTTACAGGTAGAGGTACTCTATCTCAAGTTACCTAAACCTTCCTTTGAATGAAGTGTGGAAAGAGGTGCTTATTTTTCTTTAAAAAAAAAAATTATTGTAAAGGTGATGAGCAGGGAGTGTTACAGTTACATAAGTAAGGTAATGAGAACATTTCTTTTTAAACACTGTTACCCCCTCCCTCATTTCCTCCCACTTACCCCCTACTTCCCACTCCCCAAGTTGTCAAGTTCACTTCCAACATAGTGTCTAGTGAATATCATTGTTGCATTAGTTCATCCTTTATCCTGCTGTTTCTCTGATTCCTTTTCCCATCCACAGATCAGATGAGCTTATATACAAGACAAAGAGTACAGAAAACTAAAACAGAAAGAAAGAAAATAGAAATAACTGCATACAGGACATAAGAGATTTTTAATTTGTACAGAGATTTTCTTCTATACTCTTTTTCAGGCATACCTTTTCCCATATGGTCTGTAACTTTGAACTGAAAAATGACATTCCTTTTCTGCTTAAGCCTTCATATATGTATTCATCTTTAGACATAGATATACCCCTCTGTCTACTGAACAGTACCAAAGACTTTCTCTGGCAAGAACCTTCTCAAGCTGGCTTGGGCTCCTGCAGCACATAGACAATTCCAAAGACCATTAGTGTCAGATAAAACCACATTGTGATGATAGTAGATGAAGACAAACTTCAGGGCTACTGGTGTAAACATGTCTGAGCATAGATCAAAATAGAAATGTTATTCTACTGGGTCCAAAACCAACCAAACAGCCCCAACACAGCTAATAAGAATGACAGTACTTTGGTCAGATTATACTTTTAGCTTTGGTCTAATCTTTTCTTTTCCCTTTCTAGATACGATTTCAGTTCTTGTTTCCATACAGCAATCATTCTCAAGCAAACTCCTGATTTCTTGAAAACATTCTACAATCCTCTAACACATGTTCAAAATCTAACAAATCCTCTTGTGATGATACTCCACCGTTCCCCTCGGTATATGTCTTCTTGAATAGCAACTAGTAATTGCTACCGATCTTGTGCAATCATAAGTGTGATTCTCTTTCTCTGTTCTTGTGGTACCAAACTCAGTGCCACAATGCTTGCTAGACAGGAGCTCTAACAATTGAGCCATACTCCCAGACCTTTTCTTACATTAGTTGTTGTTTTTTTTTTTTCATGTAGAATGATGAATTTTTGCCTGGGGCCAGCCTCAGACCCAGATCCTCCTCCTATGTTCCACATTATTACTGAGATTACAGCATGTATCAACAGACTCAGCCTCTCAGGTTGTCTTTGGAGAAGGGGATTTACGGTATAGATGCTCATCTCCAACTAGAGTGGTCCTTTCATCTTTCACTACCCATTGCAGTGAAGTAAGACCCACTAGAGTTCCAAAACAGATAAGACAAAATACTACCACCAAAAAGAACATTGGAAGAGTAAAGGGAATGTTTAAATTACAAATCTTTTTCTCTTAGTACTTAGTAATTTTCTTTGTCCAATTAGATCATTACGGTGCTCTCTATCTTAATTAAATAAGTACACTGAATTTGAATAGATCATGATTATTAGGTTTGCCTGGGAGAACAGCCCTCTACCCCCTTCCTCTTCATGAATGACAGCATGTCTGTGGATATGGAAGTGATCTCAGAGCCCAGGGAACCTCTTACTATTGGAAGGAAGAGTGATCAGAGATATTCAGGAAGTAATCTCAGTAGATGAGGAAGTGACTTGGGTCTAGGGTCCTTTGCTGACTCACAGTCAGGTGGTTGGCAGTCAGGTGATTATTAGTTTGGGGCAGGTAATTTCTGGTAAGGCTTTTGCTGTATTTCATGAAGAGGAAGAGGGGAGGAGGTTTTCTCTTGGGCAGACCTAACAATGATAATTAAAACTTGGGAAAGTATATTACAAATTGAATTTGTCCTAGTTTATCTCTGCTTATTTTGTCAGTGGAAGATATTATCCCAGAAAAAAACCCTGATATTTGACTTGGGCAATGTTCTCAAAATCCCCAGCCTCTGTTCCTGATTGATAGATGTCAGTCTGTGTTTCAGGGATTAACTTTCCTCCCATGTTTCAACTCCACCATTTTAAATATTGTTTACTAGTGTTCTTCATAAAAAACACACATGTGGACATTTAGCAAGCTAGGTCTGGAAATGGCATAAAAATTAACGCATGGTCAGCCAGAGCAGAAAAGACCATGAGACTCTTATCTCCAATTAACCATCAAAAAACTGGAAGCAAGCTGGGTGTTGGTGGTTCACGC